ATAAAAAATTCTCCTGTTTGCATACAGCTGGTAGAAGCTCTTCTGTGGACAAACATTCTATGAACTGAGCCGCGCGCGAAGCCACGATTCTCAGCATACTTATTCTGTGTCCAGCCTTGACAAAACGACATGAGATGCAGGATGCAGGCAACTGATGTTCTCTTGACCTTTGACCTGGTTCGCCTGTCTATGGTCTAACCGTGTTTGTCCCCGCATGAGAGGATAGGTCTGACAACTCCAAATTGAAGTTATCACTCATGTCCACACAATTGGCTGCGCACTCACAAAACAAATGACAGATGTGATTTGATTGGGCATATACTGCAAGCTCAGTTGCTCAGTTATCTGCAACTTCCCTACGGATCTCAGTTACAGCCACTAATCACTTTCCTCTCGAGTTATTCAATATTCAATGTTCTTCAATTAGAGGCAGAGGGTACTTTCCCGTATGAGCCTCATCACCACGGACTCGAAGATCTCATTCATGATAGATATGCATACCACACTGTTCGCAGGACGCTGTCGAGCTTCCTCTTGAACATCTTATCATTGACCTCTTCCACCACGTCAGCTGGAAGGGAGTTCCTCAAAGCTTGGTTACCCTTCGCGATAGCCGGAACCGAAGAGGTAATCCTACGGACGAAAGCTTGAATTACCCTTCGCGATAGCCGGAACCGAAGAGGTAATCCTACGGACGAAAGCTTCAACAGCGTTACTTCCGCGATAGCGAACCGAAGAGGAATCCTACGGACGAAAGCTTCAACAGCGTAAGTCCATTCCCATTCACTTTTGTTCGATTAGATTGAGATTGCATGATCGAGGTGGCCTTGGGAGCGAGATTTTACCGAGATGCACACGAAACTCGCGTGTCGAATCGATCCGATCTTTTGCTCCAGGTGATGAATCAGACGTACACTAAACACCGATCATGCCGCTTTTTGCTTTTTAATAGCTGCCAAAATATAATTTTCCAATACCGCCTTCGACGATCGTATTTGAATTGCGATTCATCGGTCCAACGGAACGGTTACCATTGTTCGTTTCTTTAAAGCAATTCATCATTGATCAATCTGAACGCATCTTTCGGTGACGTTAGGTCAATATAGGAACAGAAGTAGGCCTCCTTTATCAAAATCTATGCCAGTTGAATCCATGAGACGCAGTGTGGGAGAAGATTGATCAGCCTGGTAAGCTACCGATCACAGCTGATGAACTCAGTGGATTCGATTTCAGAGTACTGAATAAGCGTCTGAGAGACCCAGCATCACCTCTTCCTCCAGGAGTGTCTATGCTTTTTTACTAATCAACCCATCTCGAAAGTCCTAAGGACCTGGTAATCTCGTAGCGTGGCCTTTCTGATCTCCACGTTCAGCTTGAAATTCTTACCGTCCGTCAACTCCGAAGAAAAGATGAATACTATTATGGTCGAAACATCCGTTCGAACATCATATGGAATCTCGCTGCTTCACGAGGAAGGAAAACAGGGTTAAGTCAAATTGAATTATCCAGAAAATTAGTTTTACTTTAGTTTCCACAAGCGCTAATTTTGCTTTTATTCGTGCAGCGGTTGATTGCTGTCTTTTGACAGCCATGCGATGGGAAACACTGGAAATTTGGGAGTAGTGCCAAGGCAGAATTAGAGATTCAGGTAGACTGATGCTGCAAATAAATTGAGGAGATGACCAAGCACCATCATTTGGGCAGTTAACCATGTCTCTCCGTGCCTTTGATCATCGTTTGCGCTGATGTCAAGTTCCCAAATCGAGAATCCTAAAGTGACTTGGGTGTTAACTTCCTCCTAGGTTATAGTTTGACCACCTTTAACCGTGTTTTAACCGCTGTTGGTCTCAGAAATCAGCTTACGTTAAGGGAATCCTTTTTGGTGAATTCTGAGTGATAAATAACCTGAGTTCCACAAACAGAAGTTATCTCTTACAATTTGGGACTAAAAGGAAGAAACCTCAGGTAACCCACTCCCATGTCCATCTAGCTGATGGTTTTCGACCGGTGAATTGCCTTTCTCTGTATGTATTTATTGTAGTGATTTGGTCTTGACGTTATCTATAGGATAGGGTTCCTTTTCTTCCTTATATTATGCCGAAAAAGATAAATTAGTCAATCCTCCCAGCTGATGATTTCAGTGAGAAGAATTTTCGGATTCAGAGTATCTAATGAGATAAGTGCATTTTGGAAAAACATTTCAATTTTTGAAAGTAAAATCCTTTTGATAAACTTCCTTAGCTATCGTAAAGTTTATGGTATATTGTGACAGCCCTCGTTACCTTATTTCAATCGCAGATGGTTTGTTAGAGATATCTCATTCAGTTTTGAATATACGGTCAAACTGGTCATTTTGATTGTTCAGAACTTGAAGGTTAGAACTTTTGTCGATGCCTCAGTGGCTAAATCACATAGATGAAATGCAATCTGCAAGCGTCACACAAACTGAATGTGAATCTGCCAAACAATGATGCGTATATCGATCGAGCATGATCCATCAGTGTCTTATTACAGCCGCTTGACGAGTAGCTTATTAATTCTGTTGCAGGATCATGCGACGGACGTAAGCAATGGTTCAAACGTTGATCGCGTATAATCCATTGGTATCCGGAGTGCATGGTCCGATATGACATTTCAGGGAAGAGAGACGAACACATACACAAACAGACGAGTGCGAGTATTAACAAGGTAAGCAATCAAGACGTCATGTGAATCGGGTTGTAACCGAGGCACATCTCGTAATCGTCACCCCCCGCACCCCAGTGAGAGATTGAGAAGTTTTCGCTACATGATGGTCATCCAGACATCGCTCGGAGGCTTGAAAAATACACCGGCCTGGTCAATGCGACAACTTGAAATGCCGCCCGGACATCTTGAAATGATGTTCGGATAACTTGAATTGCAAAAGGTGTAGCGTCTGGTTACTGTGGTAAACTGAGAACTGTGCGTGAAGATGAAGTCTGAAGCATGATCATTACAAATCAAATATCAATTATCCCGCACCAGGACCCATGGTCGTACTGATTTGTCTAGTGTTGGGAATTCCGTTTCAACGGTATGGGAGACAAATGGAATCAAGTGGTGGCCTTCAGTCAGCCCGTGCNCGAGTGGGTTAGACTGAGACAGATGGATTTGGGGAGCCGTAGATAGGCCCGTCGATTGGAACGACTGTCATACCCTTAATTAGTGTGTCCGATTGAGCGATAGATTATACAGCTTCCTCATGATTGGTGTTCCTCGAGTGATAGGCGTGCGGAGCGGGGGTGTGTGTGCTAATGAGTATGAGTTGGATTAGAGGATGACTCTTGGTCACGAGACATTCGCTATGCCCAGCGCTGGTTGCCACCAGTGCAGTTATTCTTTAGCTGTAACAATAACGGCTTCAACACCAGAGAGGTTTACGAATCAATTATGTAATCAATTCAACAGGTGAAAAACTGGAGAAACGTATTTAAGGAAATTGCAATCATCAAACGTGTTTATCACAGAATACATTTAAAGCAAATGTTGTCCATATTGTTTTACCGAGGAAATTTACCTTCATAACCCGGTCTCATCAAATCTGTTCATGTGGAAATTTTCGAAAACATTTATTCCCACACCCCTTTAATCAACCGTTTTTAGGTTATGAATAACTGATTTTCGAAATCTAAGCTTTAACTGAAGACGCACTGACGTGACTGATTTCATGAATTATACTTTTAGTCTCCTTGATTTCGCATAACATGTATCCGCTTGATTATTCTAATGCTGCTTATAACTATGCCCGGCTGAATCTTGGTTCCTTATGCAAGAACCTGGTCCGTTTTATTCAAACCACTGTATCATAAAGTTCATTTTCACTCACAGCAAGCCTAGAAGCCATACTGCTTCTCTTTGCCTTATCATTCAAGTGGTTATCGCTTATTTACTGCATTCCATTGGTTTGGTGTCAGATCAGCCATGCGCTTGAAAGCATGCAATGTTCACTCCGTTAATCAGCCCATGACTTTCTTCATCCGACACAAACGTCCTCGCTAGTGAATCCCATTGAACATGGTGACAATCTTGTTTATTGTCCCGCCTTGTCAGTTATTTCAACTGAAGGATACATGATACGATCTAATAGAAGGCAAAGAGATTGTGGTTTCCATTGCCGCCAGAGTAAAAGAAATTGAAGAAACTTCACGTTAATAGACCAGCGATAGTGTGGATTATATAGGAGAGTAATAGCGGTGGCCCACTGGAGCAAGTGGTCGGCCTCCATAGATTACTTTCAGTGGGGCATGTGTTACACATGTCACCAAATAGGTGGCCACGACTCGCGATGTTTGCCGAGGCAGGTGATGGGTGTAAAAAAAGTAAAAAGTGGTCAAACTCAGATATGGCATTAGGGTATGAAAAACCTGACCAAGTGAATTGCTCACATAAATTGCGTTAGGCTTCTTATACAAGGCTATTGGGATCAACGTTATAAAAGGTTAGAGACATTGAGTGATGTGGCTGAGTCTTGTAAACCGTTTCACTCGTGTATCTCAATTCACGTTGCAACCTTAATTTTCATGGATTCTCTCTTTTTACTCGGAGAGTGGTTTGAAGACTCCAATGTTCGACTTACTTCTTCATCGAGATGGGCAGTCATGAAAAAGCAACCAAAACCGGTGCACGAGAGTGTCTGGTTAATGATTGTAAAACTGTACTCGTATAGTATCTACCCGGATAACAGCTGACTGTTGCCTTGATTCCAGAACTGTGAGTGACTTTGGCATTGAATTTGCCATGTATGATTCATTTCGCCACTTTTATACTACCTCCGGAAATGTCTGTAACGATATTTACAAGTAATTAAAACCACATCCAAACGAATGTTTGCAACTTAGCTATCAGAGAATTAACCATGGTAATGATAATCATAGGCTTGCCAACAATTCGTTGTCAATGCCTCATCACAATCTATGGTGCAACTAACTGAATGGCTAGCATATGATACACCGAGAANGTCACCCCAAGGAACAACTTACCTGTTCAGACTTATAGTTCAACGGTCCAGGAAAGTCGTTAAATTTACGCTCGGGCAAGGTGACCCCCATGGTGTATTTGGGGCTAGCATCCAAATAGAGATCAGGTGATCCAACAGTATAGTCAGCCGGACCAGGGTTCTGTGAAGAAAGCGGAGGAGCAGAATACGTGAAAAACTTTGTCTAAGAATACTACCAACGATGTTATATGTTTGCGTTGTTCTTGTTTACTGGTAAATCCAGACCAAAAACGACTTCAGTCAATAGCGTAGATATCGATTCGACCAAAGCTAGTTATCTGTGTATACATTCATCAGAGTCTTCCTCAGCTAATAGTTCTGCAATGAAATTAGGTATCATTTGAGTTAATGCACACGAAACTGTTTGAGTTGAACTCGGTGAAAAGTCGACAGACCATTCCCTGACGGTTAGGCATAAATTCACAAGAGTTCCAGAACATCATAAGCAAACGAATGACAAATGTATGTCGGTTGCCAATATCTACATTAAATAATGCTATTTTCAACCATATTCCGAGTGTTGAATTCCCATTTTAAGCTTGGAACATGCACTTCCATCAAGCCTTGATTCCCTTGGGCTTGATCGGTTTCACAGTTCAATGCAACGGATTTTCTTTTTAGTCCCCATAGTTGAAACACTAGTAATACAACGAAAATAATCTTTAAATTTATCCCCATTTCTCATCGTAATTAGAACAGCCTAGCAGGGACGTTTCTGTCTGATGAACAAGCCGTGGACGATACTTTTGGTGCTGTTCCGTGCAGTAATATGATTGTTCACGATTAAACCTAAAACAGTGCGTAGTTTGTGTTGTTTTATTTTAAGGTGCAACCTCTCGCATGGACAGTATGTGTTTCCACTGGACAAAACATTCCAAACTGGATCTGGTCATAAGAAACTAGTTAAGTTTATTCCGATATCTTATTCATTAACAATCAGTCGTACATTTGATTCGGCGGCTTCGAATAGAGGTCGCCTATTGATCCCAGCCGAAAACCTCTCATCAGATAGGATATCCCTTCCCGTTACAGATTTCCTTTTTTTACCAAATTTGAGTTCTATCATTTAGAATAACAGTGTGGCGAACAAGCTCGTTTCCAGTTATTCGCAATCATGCCATTACACATCATTTAATATGACCAACAGCAGGAATAAACAGGAAGTGAGAGTTTCGAGTCCTAATGGTTCAGCCCTTATTCCCTGTTCATTCTTGCTGTTAGTCATATTTAATGTAATGGCATGGTTACGAATAACTGAAAACGAGCTTTTTCGCCACGCTGTTGTTCTCAATGTGTTCTGTGGGACTAACGAAATGATTTTATCATTTAGTGTCTTGCCCCATACATTAAGCAGTTTCAAAACCGTTTTTCAAGGTACACTTTTCGGGTAAGAATGCCGCCCGTGTCTTCATACTCAAATTTTTTTTGACAACTTCTCATCAACTTAGATTCTCCTCACCACCATATCTTTAGCGAATTCACATGAGACGAATAGCAAACTTGAATCAAATTACGCGTGATCCGTTTCTTGTTTTTCAAAGCTATTGTAGCCACAAACGAACAGAATACAGATAGTGAACCAGTTTGTTGTTAAATAGGACCGAAAAGGGTAAATTCATTTGAAATAAGCTCTAGCAAATTTATAAATTAAGTAAGGCAACTCATCTAGGCAATCACGATGATGGACTTGCTATTCTCACAAAAATATCACGGCAGCATCTCAATTTCTGACTGTACCACTATCGAGAATGCTGTTGCGCTATATGGCTCTGGCTCTGGCTCTGTTTATCGGTCCAGTCAACCAAGGATTAGGACTGAAAGTGTTATTCCATGATTTCATGGTCAGTAAGCATGCAGGTGAATACGTGTGCTGTCGTTCATCATACAGTCAGGTTAGTCAATCTCTCCCGTTAATTAATCAGTCCGAGCCTAAGAGTTTCAACTGAGACGCTTAATATGACCTATATAACTAAACCGTCTGGTTAGATTCACGTCAGGTCATGGTTTGTCTGATCCACAGCGCTTTGTTCGACCACCACTAATCTCACCCAGATAAAGTTCATTCAGGTGAGATAACTCGTTTTCTCGAACATCAAAAATGCTGTTATCGACCCTCTGAGGCTGAGTCGGAACGAGTTTGGTTTCTCTATTGTCTAATGTACTAGGTGTCTGAGCTTTCACACGCCAGCCGATAAAAGCCTTTGAATTTTCGTATGAGGATAGTATACTTCTTTCTTCAAACATGTCAACTAAGAGATGGCTGCAAAACAGTATTACTCTCGGTGACGTTAAATCCGCTTACGGTCAACGACCTAAAAGATCGTTGATCAGAGGGCTGATGTTATTTTTTGTGTGAAACCCCTACAGACTGCATCGGGTTTCCTCTATCTTTATTGAGTGTTTAAAGTGAACATTATGAGTACCTGTTAATTTGCTAAGTTTTTTGTAGACTCAAGAATAAAGCCATTAGAACATTAGAACACAAGTCCAACGGCGGACAATTGTTTTCCAATCATTCGCAATCGTGCCTGTGCAGATCATATAAAGGTTTGTTGATAGCGGGGACACATTTTCTCGCTGGGTCGAGAGGTCATTCGGGATGGGGTGGGGTGAGCCCTGTGTGTCTGTGTTTGGGTGAGATCGATTTTGATCGGAGTGTTGGTGGTGATGTTGATGATCAATTTGATGACAAGGTAAGTGGAGAGCTCGAATTGATCACTTTTGAGGGCATAGATCTAGTGCAAAAAGCGAATGCCTATAGTCTCAGCGGTGGTTGGTATGTGTAAGTGCACTACATTAGAAGGGTTGGGTCACACGACAGATTACGCCGAACGCTGATTCTGGTCGAATTTGATGGCCTGTATCCACTAGGTGACCAAGAATGGCGCTTCCTATGCTCCTCGTGCTTCCGTGTCCTAACCAGCGTGAGCACTGTTCCTTCATCCCTTGGGATAGTTGTCTCGTCGTGCGGCCAATCTACGCTGTATTACGAGCGCAC